GAATGCAGGATATTGAAAGGATTGTTTCTCATGAAATCCATAATAACAGCCATGGGATACTGGAGGACGTGGTTTTCCTTTACTTCATTGCCTACTGACCTCTGCTATTTTGGGGTCCTACCATTTTGTGAATTATCACTTTTGCCCATCGATGATGGTGACTTTGTACTTCAGGGGTGATACCTGCTGGTCTTACTTCAAGCACTGCAGTCAATATATTATTTGAAGGGCTGCATATAAATGATTCATTTTTACATGCTGTTGCTATATAATGACTATATCAGTGCAGTACATTCTCAGTCACAAAATAAGTACACAACACACATAAGACGGTCAGTGAAGTTGGAATCCATCATCGGCATGTTTATCCAGAAATGCTCAGAAAATACTGAGGCAATTGGATTAGCATGACAGCCGGGAAATTAGTTTTTTAATAAAGGAGGATCACAAATTATAAACACTCACACTCTTTGGCTATAGGTTTCCATTAATTTGCTGAGAGTGAGGAAATTGTGTTCATGGGCCTGTGTAGCCCATTGGGGTTTACAAACACTCGTAGATACACTATATTGACAAAAGTATTGGGACACCCCTCCAAAACATTGGATTCAGGTGTATCAATCATCTCCATGGCCACAGGTGTATAAAATCAAACACCTAGGCTTGCAGACTACTTCTACAAACATTTGTGAAAGAATGGGAGCTTAATGAATTCAAGTGTGGTACTGTGATAGGTTGCCACCTGTGCAATAAGTCCATCCGTGACATTTCCTTGCTACTAAATATACCATATTCAACTGTTAGTAGTATTATAACAAAGTGGAAGCAACTGGGAACAACAGCAACTCAGCCACGAAGTGGTAGGCCACGTAAAATGATAGAGCGGGGTCAGCGCATGCTGAAGCACACAGTGCATAGAAGTCGTCAACTGTCTACAGAGTCAATAGCTAAAGACCTCCAAACTTCATGTGGCCTTCAGATTAGCACAAGATAGAGAGCTTCATGGAATAGTTTTCCATGGCTAAGCAGCTGCATCCAAGCCTTACATCACCAAGTGCAATGCAAAGCATCGGATGCAGCCGTGTAAAGCACGCCCCCCACTTGACTCTAGAAGCGCAGTGGCGATATATTCTCTGGAGTGACCAATCATGCTTCTCTCTCTGACAATCTGATGGACGTATCTGGGTTTGGCAGTTGCCAGGGGAACGGTACTTGCCTAACTGCATTGTGCCAAATGTAAAGTTTGGTGGGGGGGGGGGGATTATGGTGTAGGGTTGTTTTTCAGGGGTTGGACTTGGCCCCTTAGTTCCAGTGAAGGAAGCTCTTAAGGTTTCAGCATACCAAGACATTTTGGACGATTTCATGCTCCCAACTTTGTGGGAACAGTTTGGGGATGGCCCCTTCCTTTTTCAGCATGACTGCACACCAGTGCAGAAAGCAAGGTCCATAAAGATATGGATCAGCGAGTTTGGGGTGGAGGAACTTGACTGGCCTGCACAGAGCCCTGACCTCAACCCGATAGAACACCTTTGGAATGAATTAGAGTGGAGACGGCGAGCCAGGCCTTCTCATCCAACATCAGTGCCTGACCTCACAAATGTGCTTCTGGAAGAATGGTCAAACATTCCCATAGACACACTCCTAAACCTTGTGGATAGCCTTCCCAGAAGAGTTAAAGCTATTATAGCTGCAAAGGGTGGGCCAACTCAATATTGAACCCTACGGACTAAGACTGGAATGCCATTAAAGTTCATGTGCATGTAAAGGCAGGCATCCCAATACTTTTAGCAATATAGTGTACTTTCAGACACATCAGCTTTGATATAATTTACCAGAATAGTCAAACCAGGCCAGCTTACTTTAGCATGTGTTTTTGTGAATGTTTTTGAAGTACTTGGTATCAGGTAACTAGTAGGCTTACCGTCCCTTTAAAAAGTAGGTAGAGATCTATGAGCTTCCATTGATTGTATCTGTTTTACTTCATCATTCACAAAGCAATAAACATGTCTTTCACCACAGCACATTCTGGATAATGTTCACAGACAAATTAAGTGAAACTATAAAGATATTGCATTACACATCAAGACTTACATCAGATACACAGCCCCAGAAATTAACATCTTTTACTAATAGAAAAGGACATTTTAACAATGTTGTAGATAATTGCTTCTGCACATGTGAGAATGCAGACAGTCTCCTCAATGTCACTGTCTACTGACCTGTAATGCTTGGCAGGCCCCATGTTACACTGCCAATAGCTCAGTCTGTGTGCTTGAGAATTGTGAGGAGTGATTTTAGGACTTTTTTTCTTGGAAAAAGGCTGCATCCAATATTGGGAGAGCACATAATCCACAGCTCTTACTCTATATTAAATATTCATAATGCAGTGCTTGGATCCAAAAAAATCCCTGTGATATTTGCAGATAGACAAACTGATGTCCACGCTGTGCTCACATATATATAACTCAGAGCTGCTGACCTGTAAAAAACATACAAGGCTAGTATGCACTTATGTCAAATAACTCAAGGAATAAGGATCAACCAGGTGCATATTGCATACTTGACAGATAAGACCACTGGTTTGGTAAGCTAATAGGTCCACCCCATTGGATTTCAGTTATCAGAATTCAGAATTCACTCCAGCATGACCCAAAATCTTCAGTGTTTTGAGTCACACTGAAGGAAATTTTAAATTACACATTTAAGTAAGGCACCCTTCAGACATTTGCAGTCTGTTGATATGTGGGACTGCATATGCTTCATTTGGAATAGGCTGCCAACATACCTTAGCAAAAAGATGGAGATGACCCTTCTGTGTATTCAGCTCACTACAACACACATATTCATACCTCCTAACTTTCTGGGAAGGGACAGAAGGACACCCTTTAACACAAAGTGTGTAGGCAAAGGACACACACCCTGGCATGCTCAAGGTTAGTGGCCCATGAAGAATTAAGCAAAAAAATGATTGGCTAAACTCAAAAGTGTTTTTAAATTTCTGTTTCTTTTATTCTGGCATTTAAAATAAATAACTTGTTAATAAAAAGGTCTGTGTGAAAGGGTTAGTGTAGTGTAACACTTTGATAGTTAGATATTGTGTTTATTATTAAGGCCTAAACATCTCTCCAAAATGAGAGACAATCATAAAGGAAAGAAGGATAAAACTATAGTATTTGGTTCCTAAAGAGGGACAGTCTTTCCAAATGAGGGACAGTTAGGAGGTATGCATAATGCTGCATGGCTGTTATTCTGATGTGTACAAGTAAACATATCAGAAGTGTCAATGAAAAGTCAGATGACCTCAGGGGCGGACTGACCATTCAAGCATTCAGGCACTGCCCGAGGGCCCGGGGTCAGTAGGGGGCCCCATGAGATGCCCTTGGTACCTTTCATTGGCTTTTTCATAGGCTTTTTTGGGTTTGGGCGAGAACACAGGGGCCCCATGATCCCTTATTGCCCAGGGGCCCCATGTGTTCTCAGTCTGCCCCTGGATGACCTTATTATGTGCTTGTTCTATTTCAGTATTTCAAAGTCTTGAAGCAAGAGGTTAGTTTTTAGTAACCAGGCAACTAGCATTTTCTCACATTACAAGTTTATTTGCTCCATAGTGTTATACTGAACATACATGGAGCACTATATTCTAGAGCAGTGATTCATTCTTTACTTTCCAACTGTCACCATTAGGCCCCTTTCACACAAAGGGTCCAATCAGGTGCGCCTGACAGTTTTTCAGATGGACTTGATTGGACGATCCATTCTCCTCTATGGACAAATGGGTGTAAACAGACTTCCTACCTACAATCCAGTCTGCTAAAAAAAATGGCAGTGAATCAACCCCCCTCCATCTAGTCTGATCGGATCAGAAGGCAATCGGATGTAAATGGACAGTGGAGTCCGATTACATCCAGCCGCCTATAGAACAGAACGGGCTCTGTCCATGTCTGCTCTTCAGAAACTGAGCAGACATGGACCTGTCATCCATCTACTCTGCTCTGATCAGCAGGGGATCAGTTGACAGATCGCCCCTGCTAATCAAACAGAGACTCCCCCATGTGAAAGAAACCTAACTCCTTTATATGTCAGCCTCTGATATTATTGTGATTTCAGCTAGGGTTACGCTGAAGATTAACTACCTTTGCTACTGAGAGATGTAGCTATTTATTGAAGGACTCCTCATTTGTAGTACATAGTGAAATGATGGGCAACAAGGAACTAAATTTCATAGCAGTAAAGATACTTATTAGGCAGTGTAGTCCACATCAAATAATAAACTAGAAACCTTGTCCTTTACATATTTTGAAAAACGCATGATTGTTTTGGATAGAAGGGAACCTTTGAGCATCACCAAAACCAATGGATCTTTTCTAAAATGGTAATTTCCAAGCTGTGAAATGAAGAAACTGAAATAAAAGACAGCTTAGCAAACTGTGGGAGGCATCTAGCAGTTTGAGAAATAATAATTCTTCATTACAACAGTTAGCATAACAATCGTACAGTTGTGGGGTACATCAGCCAATATCAGAATGTGCAATACTTTACTTTATTTTGGTTATATGAGATGTAAAGAAGTATAACAGCAGACAACCAATTGGTGTATGTCTCCTATCCATAAGAGACCACCAAATATGTTTGCAGGGAGCAATAGACCATCAGCACTGGACTAATGATGATGATTGGGAAAGCATTGTCTAGTTCACTGAATTCCCAATTCAACTGCACCAATATGTTAGAATCTTCAAGGTGAGGTATAACACTTTGGAAAGAATTTGAATGGTATTTGTAGAATGTACAATATACCACCCATCCTTAGGCAACTGTATGACACACAGATGTCTGGACTGTGAGGCCAAAAGGATCAAAACGTTATCTAGTGTGATACCAAAGCAAAGAGCTCTATTAAAGAAATTAGATTTTGATTCTGGTAGTATTGATCAAGTTGAAGGAATTGATATCTCACCACCTGAATATCTTTTAATCCTATTATGTAATTTACTTTATAGATATTGATGAATGCACAGAAGAACCCAATATCTGTCTTTTTGGCACATGTGCAAATACCCCAGGAAGTTTTCAGTGCATCTGCCCGCCGGGATTCGTTTTATCAGACAACGGGAGAAGATGTTATGGTAGGTGGCAAAATGCAGGTGTTGATGAAATATCAACTACAAATGGTAACTCAAAAACAGATTATAATTAACTCAGTAAATTGGCTACCTGTAAGAATATCTTATAGCATTAAAAGTGATCTAAGACTGTGCTATAGATGTATTACATACATAGGATTTTAAATGAAAAGAAGTTTTGAAAAATAATAAACAGAGACAAAGAAAATCAAGCAAAACATGCAGAAAAAAATAAATGTATGTAAGCAGATATTGATTGCTTAGAATTATAAACAATTAAAAACAATTATAAATTGTACTTTTTCACAGATACTCGTCAAAGCTTCTGTTTCACCAGATTTGAGAATGGAAAATGTTCAGTACCCAAAGCATATAATAGCACCAAAGCATCCTGCTGCTGTAGCAAAATGCCTGGAGAGGGTTGGGGAGATCCTTGTGAACTCTGCCCCAAGGAAGGAGAAGGTGAGTGTATACAGGCCATTAACTTACTTCTTTTTATTACTTTTCCTACATAAAGACAAAGATAGAAATGTTTTGACCCGCATTTGCTCTCTGATGGCCTGAGACTACAGATGCCAGCTAAAAGTACTGTTAGTCTGGCCAAGGGCAAGATTTTTACATTGAATACTATGGAAAAATGATTGGGAAGAAAAACGAGGAGAAGTCAGACAGCTGCCCTTTCAACAAGCTCTTCCTGCCTTTTCCTAAGCATTGCCAAACCTCTGTTCTCAGATCTGGTTTGGCTTCAACTCTGTTATATTTTGTCTTGTCTGCCATGTCTGTGATTTTTGCCATTTCTTTCATTTCTACAGCTTTAATGCTATACCATAGAGAAATTCATCACAGCCAGAAAATAATTTCAAAGCAAAATTAGTTATTTCTCTTATTTTCAATATATATTTTGTTTCTTTTCAGTGGCTTTCCCAGATTTATGTCCATTTGGGCACGGTACTACTCCGCTGGTATCCCTGGTATTGGCGACACCAGAGAAGGTAAATATTTGCTGAAACAGAAGTAGGGATAATTTAAACCTAAGAATTGCAATGGGTGATGAAAGTTCTCAGGTTTGCACTCCTGATCACCAAGCACATCTTACTTTCCAGGTTTAGACACATTTAAAATTTAAATAAAGACATTTTATTGTTTTGGATACAGTAGTGAAGGTTTAGGCCTTCTTGCCAGGTTTTAATTGTGTCTTTGTTCCCATTGGGAAAATTCCTTTCTGTTTGTCCTGGTTACTATTTTTATTTAGGGAGAAAGTGATGGGAAGCCCAATATATTTGAGTGGTTATCAGAACAAAAAGTGAGGGAAAATCCTCCATTTGTGATATCTATTCCTATGATTGCTCTCTACAATGGGAATTCTGTTCACTTTAGAGAAATGTACTCTCTTTTCCTCTCGCTTCTCAGGACAGGCATGAAAGGTAAATAACCCCAGAGGGACACGGGTAGCAAGTAAAAAGTCTAAAAGGGGTTGTACCCTAAACTGCCTAGTTAATAAATATTAGGCTATGTATGCCCCACTTTAGGTTCTGTAACAAAATATTTTGTATAAAGCATTTAAGTAAATAAAAATGACAATCCACAAATTTCTAGTCAGAAAGTAGATAGTCTGCACTGCAGCGTACACTTCGTAATGTTTATAACGTTTCTCAGCCTTTTTGCACCAGGAGGAACCCTTGCACAAAAATATTTATTGGTGGTCAGTGTGAAAAATACCACCTACATTGGTGGCTAGCAGGAAGAATGCCCCCCTTACAGTAATAGTCTGAATGCCACCCTACAGACAGTTAAACAGATCTTTAGGTTCATGCATATGATCCTGGAACTTTGAAAGCACCACCAAATGGGAGGTCAACCACAGTTCAAGGACCCCAAGCAACCTTTGGAGGAACCCTGGTTGGGAATGGCTGATTTATATAATAACGTTTAGTGTATACAGTAGTAGCAATGGTATATATGACTATTAGTAACTGAAACATGACTGTAAAAAACATACATATTTTAGTGTCATAATATTTATATTGACTGTCATTTTACTTATGTTTTGCATTTTTGTCTTTTTTAGATGTCAATGAATGCCTAGAAAATCCAGGAATATGTGCAAATGGTCATTGTATAAATACAGATGGATCTTTTCGATGTGAGTGTCCAATGGGTTATAATCTGGACTACTCCGGAGTCACCTGTGTAGGTAAGTAGATTGTGTTGTATGGGGAACTTCTCCCCGTACTGCTGTCACAGGAAGGGGGGGGGGCATCGGGCAGCTGGGACTGGTAGTTCATTCCTTCACAGAACTCTATGAATGAGGCGGCATGTGGGCAGAGCCTTTCACAGCTGCGATGTTTTTAAAAAGTGACAGCTTGTACTGGGAACTTCTCCCATACTGCTGTCACAGGGAAGGGAGGATAGGGCAGCCACTGCAATATTGGCAACATGTTCCATGTTCCACCTAAAAAAAATGGTGGAAAATGAAACATGTTCCCAAAGGTGAGCTTATCCTTTCAGCTCAATCAGGAAAAATTAAGAGTTACGCATGTTTATCGTTGCCTATGTGTGCTGATCATATAGGCAGAAGGTTTTACTGAAAATTAATTTCCTCTTAAACCTGCGTTTTATATCAGGGGCTCAGTTTGAATTGCCAAGGTTTATGACAGGTTTACTTTAAGATTGAATTTTTAAAGCAATTATTGTTAGGATATGTTATAACACAAACAGAAATGTGTACTACCTAAAATATGCTATTATGCATTATGCGCTATTCCCATTATTATGGGAACATTATATGTTCAAAATGTTTACTGGTCATTCCCTTTTAGATGTAAAAAACACCTTACCCTGTTTTGCATAACTGCCCCCTTTTGAAAGTTCCAGAAGATATGTACTTTTAGGATCCTGGTCATTTACCTTGATTTGTAAAGATTATCCTGTAGTTTCCTATATATTGACACTCATGCATTGTGTAAAAACAGAGGGCTTTGTAAATATATGTGAACAAACTTCACATTAAGGTGCCTTTCTTAGGGCTTATGTACATGAGCTTTTGTTCTCATCAGAACTGCTCTTCCTCACTAGGAAATGCAATAGAAAATAAAGCAGCTTAGAATGCATTAAAATGCAGGCCAGCTTTTTTATATCTACCATCAACTATGTGCAAGGGCCTGCCTGCATTGATACGAATGGAAATTGTCATGTCCTCCAATTGCATAGTTTTGGTAAATCTAAAGGAGGTTGTAAAAAGATTATACAATCAGATTGTATGTCCAACTTTTAGGGCTCATGTACACGGGGCGTTGGGAAAACTCTTCTGACCAATGGAAACTGACTGCTGGAAAACATAGGTTAAAAAACATCAGTTTAGCCACGTTTGCATACTGCGTTTATGTGCATTTGCGTTTAGAAGCGTTTTTAAAAGATAACCACAGGAGACCTTCCCAAATGCCCAGAATTCACTGAAAAATCGTAAAAAACTAACAATTTCAGACATTTTGAGGGTAATAGAGAGAACAGAAGCAGAGAGAACAGTATGTGTTGAGATTGTCTGTCTTTTCTGGTTGTATTCACTATGGATCCCATCATGAGCATAATGCAGCACGTTCTACCATTTTTTTCCTTCACATGAAACCTGGAACTGGCTGCGCTGGTGTACTGGGTCCATTTGAATACATGGAAAACGCTTTGCATGCATTTCTGATGAGGAAAAAAGGCTCTGGACAACATCTGACCATGGAACAGTTAAAAAATGCTTCTAAAAGCAAACACGTTTACACACGTTTACAAGTATTTGAAACGCCGGTAAAATCTACTCCTGAACGCAACTTTGGTGCGTTCAAAAAAATGACTGTAAACTCAACTGCCTGTAAATGACTGTAAACGACTGTGTACATGGACACATAGGAAAATTTAGGGAGAGTTCAGGGGTTGCTGAAAAAATGCTGAACAGTTCCTGAACATCAGTTTAGGAGCTGCAGTGTACATGAGCCCTAAAGCAACATTTGCCTTGCATGCTGGGCAGTTTTTACTTTGCATTGTTTTGAGTCTGTGTTGATCAAGTTACACTTCTGGTTTGTAAAATTGTTTTCATAGACACTTACCTTCTTTTGTAAGGGTCCAGACAATTTAAATTCTTGCTGTTTTGCGGTTTTGTAATTAGTTAACAAGAGTATTTTTTATATTTCAGATACTGATGAATGCTCTATTGGTAACCCATGTGGCAATGGAACATGCACTAATGTCATAGGTACTTTTGAATGCTCCTGTGATGAAGGCTTTGAGCCTGGACCAATGATGAATTGTGAAGGTAAGTCTTTACTTTTCCAACCTTACCTTTTGATTGCATTATCATATAATTTGTGTAACTATCTTATATATAGATCCATACCTATACATTTGTGTTACAAGATTTGATAAATGCAGTAAAACCAATTTAAATGTTCCAAAGTTCTTAGTTACTATATACAAGTGTAAAACAAACAAAATAAGTTAACCAGTGTAGCACTTTAACATAGATATAACAATAAAAGAAATAATAATAACCAATCCCACACGAATGTGGAATAATTATGTGCCATTAGTATACAAATTATCTCAAAAGTCTATATAAAAGTCCACATAATCTGGAAATGCTGGTGCTTAGTAAACCAGAGACCAAAGAATAGAAAGAGTCCATCAACTTCCACCCAACACTCAGCTTCTTACCGGAAGATTTGACCACCCAAAGGATTGGTCAAATAAGCGCAGTTATCAGGCTCGGCAGATGTACCATAGGCTTCCAAATAGGCCTCCCAGAAGATCCAGATGGTATACGAGATAAGTTCTCAACAATGAGATCTTAGATGGCAAATGACTCTCCACGGAGGGAACACCACAGAAGGAAAGAGTAACCACTCACAGTGTAGTAATTTAAAAAAGTATTTCAATTTATTCACAATATTGCACTTACAATTACAAGGTAAAAATCAGCCTGTCAGTGTAATGTTTCTATCCAACAAAAGGGCTGCGGTCCTTGGTGGTCTGTGGTGATGTCTGGTGTCTTGGCTCCACCCTACATGTTTCGTCACACAGAAGACGTTGTCAGGGGCATGGTCAGCACGCGACGTCGCACCTAATAAATAGGGAGAGGGAGAACACTTCTCCCTATTTAAATTGCTCTCCAATTACTGAAATTGCACAAGTGGACTAGAAATGGGAGTAATCAGCTGTAAAACAGCCCTGCTAGTATATGGCTTAAACTAAAGAACACGTGATTATCTTTAAAGATATTTCCATCCAATACAAAAATATCTGAATACAAAACATAATTGAATGTTCAGCATACTGATGAATTGCAACATTGGAGGTCCTTACTTTATCTTCCACATATGACACTGCATGGATTTTGTATGATTTCCCTTTATGTGCTTGACTATCTTCACCATTTTTGATGGGGGGAAAGGGTTACAACACCTGATAGTTTATGTTCTGCTGTCTGCGTCTAGTTGGAAGATTTCCCTTCACTTCCTGTACTAGAAATGCAACAAATTGAAGGAAATTCACCTATTAGACAGATTTCTTCTCTGTGAGATTTGCCCTCACTGGGACAAAGTGTGGATGAATCTGCCCAGTGGAGACACAAACTGCAATAAAAACTTCAGGAAGTAGAAGTCAGGTCTTCAGCAGTGTAGAGGGAATGGTTACCCTTAAGTTGTCCATAGATGTATAGAATTTCAAGCAAAAAACATTCAAATATTGTTCAAAAGATTTAATTTGCTTTTAGCATTTGATTTTGGAATGAATTGATTTACTGAATAAAAAACCACATTTACTGTTAAAAATGTATTTGTTCAAGAAAAAAATGTCATCCTGCTCCTTTGAATTTTCTGCTCACTGCGGCTGAAAACAGACATCGATTTGACCCACTAATGATTAGAAAACTGAACATATTTTCTTAGAACATTCTTTTGAAATTCTACCAATGGCCAGCTTTAGAAAGCTCTCCCAGAAGTATTTGCCAATGATTTGCTCATTACTCAGTTAGGACTTGGTGAATAAGGAGGAAAGCACTAAAGTAGAAAGTATGAAGTTCAGATTGAATTTATTTTAATTTAATTTATTTAAAGTCTACTATTATACAAATCAAACATGCTTCAAGGGTTCCAAGGGTCTCTTTTCATTAGGGCTATGAAAAACATATAAAAGATTGTCCTCAGTTCACAATATAAAATGTATGAGGTATGGAATGCTGAACATAAATACATCGGTACTGTATAATATACAATTTTATTATAAAACAAAACACTAAGATTAACATGCAGTCAAGTAAAGACAGGAATTCTATAATTTTATAATATATATCTTTACTTGTCTTATTATTATTGTGTCGTATATTTCTGTAAGCTAATATTATTGCTATACATCTTATTTTCTTACTGCTTATAAATAAAGCGACTTTGTTTCTCCCTCAGACATCAATGAATGTGCCCTAAATCCACTGATATGTGCATTCAGATGTATTAACACCTATGGTTCCTATGAATGTACTTGCCCTGTGGGCTATGTTCTTAGAGAGGATCAAAAGATGTGTAAAGGTAATAATTGATTGAAGAAGTCTTATTTGTGTTTTATTTGCTGAAAATATATAGTTTAGTTTGGAATGGTACAACAGTAGTTTCCATTTTGCTAACACAACATCTTTTTACAATGCAACAGACCTAGATGAGTGCTTAGAGGGTTTCCATGACTGTGAATCCAGAGGAATGCTCTGTAAAAACCTGATCGGGACTTTTATGTGTATTTGCCCTCCTGGAATGACAAGGCGACCAGATGGAGAAGGATGCATTGGTGAGATTACAGATTCAATTGTTTTTTATTTGTACATTTTATGCTTTTGAATGCTGGGACTGATTTGTATTGTCACACTGTAGAAGGATATAGATGTTTATGTTGTTAGAACAGATACCAAGATTGTCGGTATAAAGAACTATGCACAATAGTGTATAAAGAGCCATGTACAATTTACCTGTAATGAATGTAACCCGGTGTATTTTCATCCCAAAATCAATATTATTATATTTCAGAAGCACAATGTCTGATCAGATGTCTTTCAGGCATCCAATTGCTGTTAGTATCTCGAAAAATATTTTGGCCCAAGCAATCATCTAGTTGACAGGCTTTGGACTTGTGTCGATGGCATCAATTTGACATCAGTTTAAGATGCTTTTGAGATGCTTTAGAATTCATTGACAGGTGGATTTGACCTTCAGCTGACCTCCTTCTGACCTCTGTAGACTTGCATGGCAATGCAAAACCCACTCGAAACAAAGAAAAACTCATTGACACACTCAAACTCCTTTAGATTGTAAGCTCCCCGAGCAGGGCCCTCCTATTCCTTCTGTACTGAAATGTATTGTAATTGTACTGTCTCCCTTTGTTATTATTATTATTATTCAGTATTTATAAAGCGCCAACAGTTCGCTCAGCGCTGTACAATATAATGGGAGACAATACATGCGACAGTACAATAACAATACAATGCGATACATGAGGGGTTCGAGGGCCCTGCTTTATATTGTAAAGCACTGTGCAAACTGTTGGTGCTATATAAATCCTGTAAAATAATAATAACAATTGATACAGGTCTTAAGTCAGCTCAAATTAAAATTTATCCCACCCCCTACAAAAATACTGAATTTTCCACCTATGAAGGCACTCATGATACTGGCACTGGCAAACCTCCTTTAATTTGTTTTCAAGGTTTTCTAGAAAAAGCATTGTGATCATTCTATTTCATTTTGGCATTGCAGCAATGATGCCTCTTACTAATCTTACATCTGTTATTTTCTTACTATAAACTGAAGTATGGTGAAGTCCGCAGAATAATCTTGATCAGTCATATTTAGGCAGATCCTTGTTTTTTTTTATCAAGGGCATTCATAGGAAGCAAAAGTTCATCTGGCTAAGGTTTAGCAAGACACAGGTCCAATAGTTATAATTTAAACAGACACTGTCATGAGAGAATAATGGAGGCTGCCATTACTGAACCCTCTTATGGAAATGTTAGTTCCATGGCTGTTATTCGAATGCTTTGACTGAAAAACAGCCCTAGTCTATGAATATAAAATAAATAATTAAATAAGTCACCCATGGAAACATCTTGACTTTCTATCTTCCTTTGTTTGTCAGAAAAAAAAAACATTAGTGTTAAGGGATGCTGTTCTCTGAAATGTACAACTTTGTAGATTTACCTGAAAACCCTTCAAGTGCAGAAAATATGTGTTAGTTCTGCAAGAAATCCAGTGATTTCCCAGAAGTCTATTTGAGTTGACAATGCTGTACCTGTTGCACTAAAATCCCAGGCTGTATTTTAAGCCTTGCCTGAGTTCCCCCTTCTGGACTACAGTACACCATCCCCTTATGTCATGGAGATGAGGAGGGGGAGTTAAAGGATAAGTTCACCTTTGGGAGCATGTTCCACCTGTTTTTAGAGTGGAACATGTAACATGTTCCCACAGCTGCAGCCGCTGCCTGATTCCCCCCCCCCCCCCCCCACAAGCTTTCAGTTTTTTAAAAAATTGCGGCCGTACGGGGCACCTCCCACACATCCGCATCATTCATTCACAGTGTTCTGTGATGAATGAATGAACTGCAAGTCCTGACAGGCTTTGCAGTTGTCGACTTGTAGTTCTCAATGAACTACCACAGCGCTGTTGAGCGCTGTGGTAGTTCATTGAGCCTTCCTGTCAGACTGTATCTGCTTGCCTGTATGGGATGTATGGGCAAGCAGATAGACTGACAGTTTGCAGGAGTCTTGCATGGCACCAGCGATCTGCTGATCACTGGTGCAATGCTGTCCAGGCTCCAAAAAGAAAAAAAATAGTAAGTGCACATTTTTTTACCTGCTAAAAAAATGGGCATTTATTTATTTTAAAGTGAATTTATCTTTTAAGTCATTCTGTAGGCCAAAAGGGAAAGAGGACTGGGCAGGACTGACAGCACTACTCAGGATTTCAATGTAAACAGGGCTCTGAGTCAGCTTAAACAGGAAGTTAGGTGTACACTTTAATTCTGACAGTTCCACGTGTATTTTTCTGTAATTGAAGCATTTTTAGGGATAACATAGATGTACTGAATAAATATATATATATATATATATATATATATATATATTTATATATATATTCTTTTTTTTTACCCAGACATACACTCTTAAGTGCATGTTCACTTAGCTTAGTAACTAATGTACAGTAAATCTGTGTAAGTTTGCACAAGAATCTTTTTCTAAATTTACCCTTGCACCTAAAACAGAACTTCACCTAAAATCAGAAGCTCCTCCTCCTCCATCCCTCCTCTGCCACTAGGAGTGGGTGCCTAGTTTTGTCAGCTACCTGTTCTGATCATCTAGGCAATCTGAGCTGAAGTTTGAACACAACCATCCCCCCGAAACCTCCTAGGACAGGACACAGGAGGCTGTAGACCCATAGGCATGCGAAATGAGACGCTGGCTATGAGCTAGTAGGAAGTCACAACTGGCATCTTATACTCAAGATGGCAGCGCTGAGGGCCCAAAGACCAGCAAAGTACCAGCCCGGGTGAGGACAGCACTGGATCCCTGGGCTGGTAGGTTTCTCTTTATTAAAAGTTAGCAGCTACAGTATTACTGCTGACTTTTACATTTTTTAAAAAATGACTGCAGATCTTCTTTATTTAGGAATTTAAAATCTAAGTGCAGCCAAGATTTAAAACACAAAATTCAGTACAAGGGACATCATTTCAGTCAGCAGGGTGTGACCCTTGTGCTGATGCCTATTTTGAAATCCTCCTCTGTCCATGTCCTAAGCCCCCCAAATGAGAGTTAATAGAAGCTGTATTATGGCTCTATGAATGGCAGAAAGGACAGGCATAGTTGTAATCTTCTAGTGTGATGGGGGTTAAAAAAGAACTATGCCAGCCTATTGCACGCAATAACGCCATTCACAGACATAATACAGTTTCTATTAACACATGTATGGGGCATGGTGGGGAGGTGTGGGATGTCACAAGGGACACATCCTACTGTAAGTTATGTCCCTTGTGCTGATTTTTGTGCTTTTTTTCTTTTTATTTTGGCTTCCGGCTTAACATAGTTTCACCTCATTTACTAGGCCTAGTAAATTAACTGCTATGTTTCTAAATGTCTCACAAAGCTAGTCATGCACTGCTTGTAGAAACTAATCATTAACATAGATGAAAAGGGAAAAGAAGTTATGTTCTCTTCTACATTGAAAATCCATTTATTGTGTTTATTGTGTTCAAATAAATATTGTTTTAAGGTTTTCATAGTTTAGGCGTGATCTGCCCACTTGTTTTTCAAGTGAAAAAAAAATGGGAAAACCATGGATGACCTCAGCCACTTATGCAATAACTTATAATGTGCAACTACACGGAGTGGTTTAGAGCCTTAACCATATGTACACAAGTTTTTGTGGTTCTTGTGGTAACACAGCCACTTTTATCCATCTTTTGCAATTTCCCATTGGTTTGATACAGATGAAAATGAATGTCGTAGCAAACCTGGTATCTGTGAGAATGGTCGCTGTGTCAACACTATTGGGAGCTACCGCTGTGACTGTAATGAAGGGTTTCAGACATCTGTCACTGGAATTGAATGTCTTGGTGAGTAATCAGAAAACAAATGCTCTAATATTAGTGCATAGGCAATATAGGATTATGAATCATGAAAAAAATTACATCAACTGCTCAGGGTTCATTCTCAGCAAGTCACTGATATTACTTATTTAGTAAATATGTATATTAAAGTGTATGCACAGCCATTTTTTTCTACATACAGTAGGAAAGAGTGTCCTGCTGGGGAGATTTCTCTTTACTTTCTGTCCTTGAGATGCAACAGGATATTTGACAAAATCTCCCTTGAAATAGAATTTCAGCCTAAACCTAATTGTTCTTAAATATTATCCTCCCCTGCTGAATAACCTGTGTAAGGAAGATGCATATACTTACCTATTTTCAGTCCACTCTGGTCTGGTCATGTGATCCTCTGAATCAACCAGAGATGGCTCCAGGAAAAAGGAGAGACCACATGGCAATGATTGGGAAAGTCTGGAGTGGTTATGTCACCCTTAGGCTCCTATAGCCCATCTGTTTTCAGCGCTCCCTCCTCTACCCTACAGCCACCACTGTCTGACACAGGGGAGCCATGTTAAGAAGGGGGAGGAGCATTTATAATACTAGTAAGTGTATCCCGCAATTTTACTTTGATAGGTGATAAGTGATGGGAATTATCTTCCTTGTTACAAGAATAGGTGTCCCCAGTAGAAGATTCCCTTACCTCTAGATCTGGTGACAACTGTCAAAATGTTTGATTTTCCTTCACTTTCTGTATTCAGTTTGTCAATACGAAAACACAGACAGCAATAAAAACCTGGCAATGAACAGTAAACCAGCATATCAAGAAAATAAGTTACACCAGTGTTTCAGGAACACTATAGCCTCTTCCTTGCTTCCTGCCTGACAAATTAATTTGCTGTAAAATAAATATGCTATACCTTTCATTTTTTAGATTAAATCAGTATTTAATTAGCAATAAATTTGCTCCCTGGTATACTAGTTATGTAATGGATGCAGCCTGTAGCTAATGTAATTAAAGAAAAACTTTTGTCTGAGTATACCATTGAAGCTCTAACAACTCTTCCAGGTTTAGTAGCCCTTTGTTTCAGTTCAATTACATGTGTACAGGAGGTCACACTTACTGTAACACGTTCTGCTCAGTGTTTAGGTCAAATGCCCAGGTATTGTGCAGGCACCTTAGCCTTTCTACAAAGCGAAAATGCATACTGAAATCTATTCTATTCCTGTCTTACTTGTTCATAACTTTGTTTCCCTTGTTATGCAAAAGGCATGACCGTTATATTTTCCAGGATTCATAGAAATCAGACTGTAATTTTCTCACTGAGCATCACAACAATAGCCTCTTTAAAGCATGGCTTGGCATGGAATCAAACCAAATGATCACTTAAAGTTGCGTAATATTTTTGAGATGACATACAAGTCATGCTGTGGTACAGTAATGTGGACTTAAATTAAAGGTTATACATTATAAACAAACCAAGGAGCATTTTACTACATAAAATGTAATTGAACTTTCCATTTTATCATGTAGGATTTTCAGCATTGTCCTTCTTAAGAGCATGCACTTCTTACTCTAATTCTAAAATAATGACTCTGAAAGCACAGGTTGGGGAATTCAATAAAGTGTTAACAACACTATTGTGGTGGTACTGTAGATCCCTTTAAAATGAATAATTCAGGCAAGTGTTTGCACCAGTTTTGGTACCGTTACCAGCATGGGTGACAAATTCAGCTTGTTATACCTACAGGCACTTTAAATCAGAGTTAAGGCCCCCCTCCCAAAAATTCAAAAGTTAGCAGCTACAAATACTGTAGCTGCTGACTTTTAAAATTAGGGCACTTATCTTTTCAGGAATCCCGCGGTGACCTCACCCCAAGCCAATTCTTCAGTCAGCTATCGGGTGCTGCTGCCACCATCTTGATTAAGGGAAGCCGGCAATTAAGCCTTTTGCTTCACAGCCAGCCTCCTAATGGGCATGTGCAAAGCACGTTGCATTTTGCGAATGGGCCGCAGTCTTCTGGGACCTGTAAAGTGTCCCAGAGGGCTCTGGGGAGAAAGGAGGGGGGCTGAACTTCCAGCTCAGTTCACCATGTCGAAACTGAGCCAGAAGTGGATACAGGTATCTGACCAGCTACACGCTCCCCCCTCCCCCCAAAAGATGCCAAATGTGGCATTGGGGGAGGAGGCAGATAAGCAGAGCTTCCACTTTTGAATGAAACTCTGCTTTAAAAACCTGTTGCTGCAGCAGTGAGTGATTCTTAAAGGATTACTGCCAATGGGCAGATTAGGAAACTGGTGCTATTTAAGACCATCTCTGAGCTGGCATACAGAGGTATGTCAGTACTCAGAGTGGGGCATGTCTGTGCTTGGCATGTGCAGTATGTGACAGCCTTCCAGACAGTGCTGGATTCCTGCCCCAATTCAACTGTCAGCTGGGAGATTCCCTTATCAAAAGCTAAATGTAAACAAAGGTACTGGGGATAGTGGTGATGTTATTACTCAAATATGGAACTGCCCATATTTGGGAAATTACTTCAGTCACTGAGTCATTGATGGTGCGGATTCGAAAGCCACTATTGGACTGAATAGAGGCTATGGATCCACCTGATCTCTTAGGTCCCTATTAGGCTCCACCCACCCCACTATAAAATTCCTGTGACAGGAAATATTACACATGCCACATTTCCAATTTTTCGGCAGAAAAAAAATAGAATGGCTTTACCTAACTCGAAATAAAATTCAGTGTTACTTGTGGTTGATACTTTTCAATCAAACTAAAAGCAACCACCAAAAAGAGCTTCCAATGCATCATTTTACATAAAACATTTTCTTTGGACAGAGCATTAAGGCACAGTTAGCAGCAAGACTACTTCAGTTGTACTTGTAAACTTTAGGATATACAGCCTGCTGGTTAGTTTGCATTTAAGAAATATAGCTTGGATACATACATTTTGTAATTGGCATAGCAGCAGTAGTTGGACTGTGAAACACTTGTTTGTTGGGGATCACCACAGGCTTTGTAACTAGTGAGTAAAATGGTTAGGTGTGATGGGAGGCCTTTGAGAGCAAACTTACAGTTCTGACATTTGCAAGAGAAATTGATCTGTATACAAGTAATTGCAGGCAATTGTGAACAACATGGTGGTGCATGAGAGAATATGATGGAAATAATAAACTTCACAGTGTAATTCCTTCATGTCTTTATGCCTCAGATACCCGCCAGGGATTTTGTTTCTCTGAAGTTCTGAAAACAATGTGTCAAATGTCATCCAGCAGTCAAAACCATGTCACTAAATCTGAATGTTGCTGCAATGGAGGTAGAGGTTGGGGCAACCAGTGTGAGATTTGCCCACTGCCAGGTACAACTCAATTTAAGAAGCTTTGCCCACATGGACCAGGATACACAACTGATGGCAGGGGTGGGTATACATTTGTATTTCTGATATTAGGAAATGTTATAACAGCTGTATTATTGGTTGAGCATAGATTGATGAAATGACAAGAGTCAAGACTGAAAGTCCATTTACAGTATTGTTGAATGTTTTAGCCTGCTAACCCCTCCCATCCTATTTTACTAAAACAGAAAAGTAAAATTAAAAAAGTAAGGAGGGTTGGACTAATATCAGCATTTATGAGTATGCATTAAGTATGCAAAATATGTTAGGGGCAAAAAAACTTCAGATCTGTTTTATCTACACAGGACTCTGTAACTGCTGCACCTGCAAACTTGGTGTATTTTTTGCTAAAATTACAGGGCCCATTGCTACTGCAAACTTAAACTGTAATCTGCTACAGTTAATCTGGCTGAAAATCCCCCCCCCCCCCTTCTTAGAGTTAGAAATGATCTTGACAACAGCTAAATTTGCTGTGATAAATGGTGCAAAGCATTTCAACCTGTTGAATCCTGTTTTTTTTTCTTTTTTTTATACACAGACATAGATGAATGCAAAGTGATGCCGAACCTTTGTCAGAATGGACAATGTGTCAACAATATTGGTTCCTATAAATGCTATTGTAATCATGGCTACACAACTGACATTGGGGGTACATCTTGTGTTGGTAAGACTTTTCCACAATGCCATTCTGAGTTATCATGTCATGAAAAAAAAAATATTACTAGCAACATCTTTTAAAGCTGAACTCCTGCTCCTTATCTTGTCAATGTAGAAACCTTTTTTCCAGCAGCATTGGAGCTAAAGCTGTCCATAGATGGATCATTTAATTTTTGTTCAGCCAGCAGGCTGAGCTAATAAAAAAGGATTCCTCCATCCACACATTCAAGGTGGATCAAGAACCCTTTGAGAGACTGCATTCTGAGAGTGGGGACTCTCCACTGTCTCTGGACTCCCTTTGGCTGCAGCTACTGTTCAAGAAAAATTTTCTCGGCAGCCGTTCGACAGAAGTGGATCATTAGATTGACTTCTGTCAAGTAGAATTGGCTACACATGGATCGAAATTTGGCCAGTCCCTGCTGAACTGGCTGAATTTCGATCCATGCATTACCATCTTAAGATTGAAACCTGCTCTAGTGTCATGCCTCCACCCGTTTTGTACTCTTGCTCATTCACAAAATACATCTTGTAGCATAATCCCTTGCTTTGTTTTCATGCTTTTCATGCTGATAGAAGAACGGAAACAATATTTGCTTCACTGTAAAGGAAAGGCTCTAATAACACATCTACCAATATAAAAATCATGGTAGCCTACTTCCAGCTTTAAGGTTGAAATATATTTTGACTGATTTTATGAGGTCAAAACTGGAAATGTTCTACCCTAAGCTGAGACCCAATGTTGCAGAAATGTAATGCTGGTATCAATAGCAGAGGTGCCCGTGGATCTGTGCTGAATATGACCTCTAAAACTACAGGATATTTGTAAAAAAGAAGGTCCAGGATACAGGTCATCCTCTATGCAGTACTTTATGAAACAACAATATCACCTGTTTTCATGACAGACAGGCAGATATCAGGTGTGAACACAAGACTCTATAAAGGCTTGAAAATGAAAAAAAAAATTAAAAACACAGAAAAAGATAAGTATAAAAATTGGCTTACATGGAATCCAGATATTTATTCCTTAGTGTTAGTGATGGGCTTTAACATAATGATAAAGTCGAATATATGATTGATTGGATAAATATATATAATGATAATAACAAATGGTAAGGGCGTTTGGTGGGCTGTTCACCTGTCGCACCCCACAATGCACTGCGCCCTGACACTGCATTGTGATTAGCAAAAGGTCAGGTGCAATGCTTTGGCCAATATGCATGATGCATGATGCGATTACCCCTGCCTCCTTGTGATGTCATCGTAGCATTGCTGTCAGACGGCTGGGAGCCAGCGTCGAGAGCGGAGTGTTTTTTTTTTTTCAGGTTGGCGGTGGTGGCTGGCATCGCTATTGATGATGCCAGCTGCCAGCCTGCCCCAAAGCACCCACCCATGTTGAGGGCATGTGGCCTGGTATGGTTCAGGAGGGGGGGGAGCTCGCTTGTCCCCCTTTCCTGAACTGCCGTGCTGCATGCTCGGATAAGGGTCTGGAAAGGATTTGGGGGGGGGTCCCCATGCCACTTTTAAAAAAAGATTTAGCATGGGGGTTTCCCTTAAAATCCATACCAGACCCAAAGGGCTTGGTATGGATGGTAGGGGGGACCCCACGCCGTTTTTATTTAAATTTTTTAATTGTCGGACAATGCTGACAATTCTTTTGACATTCAGCTGTCAGCGGGGTATTTTTGTAGCTGAGCAGTATCGTATACTCAGATGTGGTAAGCAGGGCTGTCTTTAAGAAGGGGCAAAAGGGGCAGCTGCTCTGGGCCTAGTCATTGTTGTGGGGCCCAAAGCAGCTGCCCCATACTTGCCAACTGTACTGGTTTACATTCCCTTGTCCCTGGAAGTCTTTGTCCCAGGCTGTGTTTGATATCTCAGTGTGAAGTGCTGTGACTTTTGTTGCCCAGCGCTGTCATATTGCCATGTACAAATGACTCATGTGTGCAGACCAAGTCAGCATTCACATATAAATAACTCCGGCATTCAAATGTAAATAGCGGCTGCAATGTGACATTAATATGTAATGAAGTGGCAGAATTCATATGTACAGTATATTATGGCCCCCAAGGTTCCAGCCACCAACACATCTGCTAGTGGTCAGTGTAAATACCCCCTTATATTGGTGGCCAGTGTAGAAATGTATTGGTTATATTGGTGTAAAATCCCCAATTAAATTGGATGTCAGTGTAAATGCTTCATTACATTGGTGATCAGTGCAAATTCCCCAATACATTGGTGGCCAGTGTAAATTTCTCTTTACATTGGTGGTAAGTGCAGAATTGCCCTTAAACTGGTGGTCAGTGTACACTTAATCCCCCCCAACATTGGTGATCGGTGTAGAAATGTCACCTCCCATCCGGCGCTGCCACTGATCCAGTACACCCCAAGCACTGTCCATTGATCCCATCCCCCAAACACTGCCACTGATCCCATCCCCCATCAGCACTGCCACTCATCCCCTCCCCCCAAGCACTGTCATTTATCCGATCCTCCCCTCCACTGCCACTGATAGCATCCCCCCACCACTGCCACTGATCCCATCAACCCTCCCCCAGCACTGCCACTGATCACACACCCTCGCCCACAGCACTTCCTTTGATCCCAGGAATCCTAGGAGTTTTCTGTCTATTGGTGGGTCCCCTAACCTTCTTAGTCCATGATGTGCAGGCAGTGAGGAGATGATGTGCTGTAACCTCTAGCAACCAATCAGTGAATAAGAATATGTAGTAACCGCTAGCAACCAGTGAGAAGTAATAATGTGCAGTAACCTCTAGCAACCAACCAATGACCAACAATGATGTGCAGTAACCTCTAGCAACCAATCAGTGAGCAGTAATGATGTGCAGTAACCTCTAGCAACCAATCAGCATGCAGAAATCAAGTGCTGTAACCTTGAGCAACTAATCAGTGAGCCATAATGTGTGCTGTAACCTCTGGTAACCAGTCAGTGAGTGGTAATGATATGCTGTAACCTCCGTCAATCAATTGCAATTGCTGCCTGATCTGCTGCAATAAACTAATTTTGAGTTTAGCTGCTATTTATTGTATGTCTCAGAGCAGATGGAGAGTGACATTGCATGGGGAGGGCCCAAAAAAAATGTTGCCCAAGTTCCAATCAATATCAAAGATGGCCCTGGCAGTAAGATACCGCTCAGTAAATAGTCCCTGTTCAAATTTTGCGGTTGAACTTTCGGTAGCTTTGAATGTTTGACCGCGAACTGAACAGGGGGGGTGTTCAGCCCATTACTACTTATAATGCAAAAAGTGTAAAACATGTTACATAAAATATGATATATGATCTATAATAAAACAATATTAGAATTAACTCTTATTGTATGGCTGCTTTATACAGTACATTACACATTAAAATAGACCTTTACACATTAAAATAGACCATTGACTCACCCTTGATATAACCTTATTATACTCCAATACAGATCACAGCTTTGGTTTGAAAACAGAACACATTACTTATCCACAGATCCCTTATCCACAGATCCCTTAAAACCCAAAAACCAACAAAACATTATCCTGAATGGTATGGAATTCATATTTGTACATAACCATTTATTCAACCAACAATTCTACACATGCAGAAAAAGGCACAGCAATAGGAACATAATTTGCATCTACCTGTGTAAAGCCTACTGTGGTGTACATCACCCTGGGGAAAATTATGTGATCAAACTAAACAAGATGATATCTAGCTGAATATGGTGATACTATAGTGTGAACAGAACCTAAGGCTATACAAGTAAACTGCTAAAAAACTACTAACCAGTAACTTCTAAACGTTGAAAAACAAAAAAAAAACCTTTTCCATGCCATGTTTTTATAGAAGTCTCATCTAAGTGTATCTTCACAATCCAAGACAGTATCTGAAAATGAAAAGACAATTGGTGAAACCATGCAATAAGACTATACTGGTCTTTTTTTGGCATAAAAAGAGTAAGAGATAATGTTTACACTAATGAAAAGAACAGTTATAGGTTAACAGCGAAAACTGCAAAAATAATCTGAATGAACCACAGTGGTGATTTATTGTTAATTATTTTCTGCTTTATAGATCTTGATGAGTGTTCCCAGTCCCCCAAGCCATGTAATTTTATTTGTAAGAACACAGAAGGCAGCTTCCAGTGTTCATGTCCTCGAGGATACATTCTACAAGAGGATGGAAAGACCTGCAAAGGTAAGTCTAAAAAATGTATGGGTCTAATGGAACATTCCCTTTCTTTTTTGAAAATGTATAATTATTTTAAGACAATGACCTGTTTCAAACTTTGGGATAAGACTATATTCACATACAATATAATGTGAATTTTATTTGTATTTTGCTGAAGTCTGAACACCCATAGATTTTATAGGCCAGTGACAATGGCCACATTTGGCTGTGTATGCAGGCACTCTGTGACTATATGATGAGCCATAGTTCCTCTGAAGTTCTCAATGTCTGGGTCTAACAAACTTGGCCATGTGTTTGTGCACAATCTGACTTCCAAAACCTCAGTTTAACCCCAACAGTTAAACTTATAACTTCATAAACATGTCAGATATAGTAGCACTCATATTTCTATTCTGACAGGTTCCTTTTATTTCTCTTTAATTATATATCGACACACACTTCTCCTGCCAAAATTATTTGTTTATCACAGATACATAAGTGACAGGAAATTATTCCAGTGACTGACAGGTAGAATGTTTTAAACAGATCCAATTCAATTATTATTATTATATTACATATATTTTTATAGACACCATTAAGAATATACATAGGGCTTAAAGTAAAGCTTTGTTTTAATGTAAACTAGACAAAGTATCACCAATAATGAAATGCAATTACTCCAGAGTACTTCCATGTACTTTTTAAAAGACGTTTGGGCACTGCAATATGTAGATACCTTTCAGAAGGAAAGACAAACATTGGCATTCACACCCCACCTCCTATGCATTACTACTGATCTTAAGCCATATTGGTAGCCTTCAGGAACCATACTGAGGAATGAGAAGGGGGGGGGGGGGCAAGGAAAATATTGTTCTCAAAGTCAACATTTACAACATTGTACCTATTGGAGAGCTGGTGTTTCACGGCTCTGGGAAGCTGGTGAAAGGCACGCATAGACAATGTGATACATAAGACCCAACACCAACTTAAGACTCAATGATCTTTCACAAATGGCACAACCCCTTTAAGGATGCAGATAAATTCTAAGAAATGAATCAGTCATAACTGTAAGAAATACGGTCACTCATTTAGCAATGCTTCCTCTTTAGAAACTAACTGGCTTTTGATTCATGAGTGAAAAACTTACTCATATAGAAACTAAATTCCATAAACATTTCAATGTCTAGGCCTGTGGCCTCAAACAGGAAATAGAAAGGAAATATTTTGAATGTTCAGACGTACAATTGTAAAACATCTGCAGAAGTTTTAGACAAAAACATGCAAGCACCTGCTTTGTGGCTGAGAAAAAGAAGGTACATGTCCAAAAAACTGCTTAACTGAGATTTTTTTTGTTTATTCTAGATCTTGATGAATGTCAGAGCAAACAACACAACTGCCAGTTCCTCTGTGTCAACATTATTGGAAGTTTCAACTGTAAATGTCCTCCAGGCTTTACTCAGCATCATACCGCATGCATTGGTGAGCACAATGTTACACAATGTGACATCACGCAGTACTCTAGTGTAGAGTTACTACACTAATCTACTAATGTTCCGCTCTCCAAATGTAGTAATTGATAAGAGAAATGCATGAAGTTACCTAGGACGTTTGTAGAGCTGGAACTGAAGTGACTGCAAATCTTAGTTGTGTCTCGTTTAAGATCCTCTGCAATGACAAAAATCCTTCTTGCTGCATCTGTCTCCTCAGAATTAGGAAAAAAAAACTCTCCCTGCTTCTAACACCAAGACCTAAGGAGCCTTTCAGTTTTGCTTACTGAGCCAACATTTAATTTTAATGTCCCATCTTATGTCCTAAGCTATTCGTGAACTAGAGGATGCACCCTCCTTGGTAATAGCTGTCATTAACGTGTAACTGACAGGTCACGGTTTTAAATGTTCTAATACTCAACAAACATATGAAAAAAATGATTTCAGAAGCTTGTAATTTGAGTTTTAATTGTTGTAAGTATTAGGAATTTATTTGCATGGCTCTTAAAATGGAACAAAAGTCCACAACACTTACTCCTCCTTCAACAGTCCAATGTCCCTCTCCGGCACAGTCACCTCTTACCTGGCTTCTTCTGGGTATTAGACTGCGGTTGTGCGCAGGAATTCAGTCATCCAGGCACACAGGATCTGTGCCAGAATGTAAACTGACCTGTGCATGTGCAGCTCAGTGTATATTCTAAAGAAAACTGTGAGCAAGCAGGTAGGTTTATTTTATCTTCTGCAATAAAGGGCCTGCTTGTGCGCAGTCTTTAAAACTGAGAATTTAGTTCCACTTTAACAACAGAGCTGAATAGCCAGATTACTAAACAAATCCACCTGTCACAATGGCTCATTTCATTTTGACCTTTTTGCATCTATCCAACTATATGCTTTACTTTCTGCACTCACTGTTACAAAAAAAATGTGTGACTGGCCATAAACTCAGTTAAAAAAAATGAGGTAGGTGGAGAAATCGCCCCCTCCACCAGGACAATGTATTTTGACAGCGGTACCTGTCACACTGATCAGTGACTCAAGCTGATTGGCTGCAGCTGCTAATCGTCAGAACATTTTCTGACACGTCCCTTTGATAGAATTTTATTCAATAATTACATTCCGGATGCATACCAGATACGTGTTTGCTTACAGTTCACACCACACTCCATTCCGGTGCGGTTTTGATGCAGTTTTCTATGTTCCAGTACAGTTCTGTGCAGAAAAAATGCAGCATGTTCTGCTTTTTTTTTCTGCACTGGAAACTGACTGAAACTGACTGCACTGGTGTGAACTAGGGCCACTGGAATACATAGAAAGCACTGTTCATGCATTTTTGATGCAGAAAAAAAAAATGCACTGGACTGCATCTAATGTGAACTAGCCCTCAAAGAAATTAGATATTTAGAAATGTTGTAGTTTAACTAAATAAGCCATTTTACCCATATGTTTATTGTTATGACTTGCTTTTATTATTTTTTTAAACATTATAGATATAAATCAGTTCCTGTATAAGAATATAATTCATATATTGCATTTCTTTTGTAGACAATAATGAATGTACACAGCCCAATTTATGTGGTTCTAGAGGAGAATGCCAAAATTCACCTGGCAGCTTCGCATGTCAGTGCCAAAGAGGATATTCCTTGGATTCAACTGGCTTAAACTGTGATGGTATGTTTCCCATACAGGGTACCTTAGCTTTCTGTAGCCATGCCCTGCCTGTCCTGTCTTGCCTCATCCTCATCCTGAACCCTGATTTGGCTTGCTGGCTTGTTCTGACCTAGCTCTCCTTCCTTAGTCATGCCTACCTTGCTTTCTCATTAATAGGGCTGCAGGTAAATAAACTAACATGGAACTGGGGTAGTATATCAAACATAAATGTGAAACAAGATGCACCCTTGAGATAAATGATTGACATTATCCCCTTTATCGTCCCTAATTTGCATAGATGTTGATGAATGCGATGGAAATCATAGATGCCAACATGGATGCCAAAATATTGTTGGTAGCTATCGATGTAGCTGCCCACAGGGTTATGTTCAACACTACCAATGGAACCAGTGTGTTGGTAAGAACTTAGCATATATGAATTTGTGACTGTCCTGTATGCATACACAACATAAACATACACATAGCTGCCCTAGGCATTATTAACACTGCTCTGCTTTTATCATGTAATTATTTATTTATTTTAAAACTAAGGCTATTGTGGGAATCTTGCTGTCTGCTTTATAGTCACAACTATTTCTGAACTATATAGAACAACACTCAAGAGAAAGGAGAGATGGTTTCATGTTTCCTGACCTATACTGAATCTAATAGCCAGTATCCTCTGCTCACATTTACTTACAGTTCTCTGATTTTAGAATCAAATATCCAGATTGGACCAAACTGAAAAAAACTGAATAAGAAAAAAATCAATATGTTGGGTGTTGCTCTCTTTTCCTGCTCACACAGGCATTAGCCCATGAGTGCCTTTTACAGTAAACACATCTTGGGTAGTAGCCTAACCACCATCCGGTCTGCAGAAAATTACTAAACTAAATGAAATCTGTGTTTTTGCCTAATCTTTCCGTGTCCACACTAATGTCACAATGTCAAATTAGGTTAATTATTTAATTTGTTTTAAATAATGTATTCCCTCTCTCCTGGCACACAGCAGTGCAGAGAGCTCCCAGCTTCATGCAGCTTTTTGCTATGGAGGTAAAGATTTAAATATAGAGTTCTGTAACTACTGTTTACATGCCAATGACAGTGGTCATTTAAAAAATAAAAGTGGTTTCTGCATTGTTTTAGTGTCCTACAACACTGTAAGCTTGCATCAAGTGACTCATCATGCCATGTCTCTTACCATAATTTCTTCAAGCACTACAGCCCATGTAAACCTTTTGACACTTCTGATGTCTGTGTTCACCCATTGGGCTCAATTGCTTCATCCACAGATCCTCACATCACTGCTGTACCCTTTAGGGACCTAGGGATTAGAAAGTGGAAGCACAGTTTGTTGCGGTGAATATCAGTATCCAAATCTTCATTAAGAGTGAAACATCAAAGAGGCTTACAGTGGCTGCAGTGCTGGAATGGAGCGATGGCAGAAAACAAGGGCTGCCAGAGTGTTGAGTATAAAAAAAAATTATTTTGCAGGGACAATTTTTTCTTTTTTTTTTTTTTTTTTTTGTGTAAAACGCAAACGTTTTTTATTAAGTAAATGCCTGCCTATGCCATGCTTATGTATTTGAAATGCTAGGCAGTGCTCTCTTTTAATTACTTTATGGACAACTTTGACCTAGATCATTGGTGATCAACACCAGACCCAGTTTCCATATTCAGTTTGAACATAAACCACATTATACACTAAATCTTTAAAATGAAGACTCTCATAAATGTCCTCATATTTTTTTTTTCTCACAGATGAAAATGAGTGTGCCACACAAAACACATGTGGTTCTGCTTCATGTTACAACACACTTGGCAGCTACAAATGTGCTTGTCCACCTGGATTTGCTTTTGACCAGTTTTCAGCTTCCTGTCAGGACGTGAATGAATGCACTTCAAAGAATCCTTGTAATTACGGTTGCTCCAACACTGATGGAGGCTACCTCTGTGGATGCCCCCCCTGGATACTACCGAGCTGGGCAAGGGTAAGGGCTTATTCAATGGATTATGGCTCCAAAAATGTTCTAATTTCACCTCAGCCTTAGGAACATTGCCTCTAGGCAGTCCTAGCCAAATTAGATTGACCCTGATCCACTGCAGTATTTTCACTGTTTATGATTGTTTTCCTTTTTAGCAAAATCTTATTATTTCCAATAGACAAATATTTACTGGCAAAAAAAAAAAAAAAAAAGGATTCCTCTAGATCGGAGTAGTGAAAGCAGAAGTCTATAAATAGAGTGAATTGTGACTTGAAGGATAAGTGCCTAATGAGCTGCGAAAAAGTGGCAGGATTACATGTATATTTACTGCTCTGCCAAAAAAATGTGGGTTTTATGGTATTATATCATATATTTAAAATTGACCTTTAGAATAAAGTCAAGTTCCATGTATTTTTTGGATTTTTAAAGCATTCATTAAAAGTACCACCTTTGTTAGGTGGCCCTTTTTATTATAGCTAAATCCAGGCAAAATATAATCAAACAACTCTGCACTATCTTCAAATAATATAAAGTTGCCAAATGCTGCAGCTCACCAATTAATGCTAAATTGTCCCCTAGAAATATTAAAATATAAACCAGCCCAACAATCCATTATCTTAGTTCCAGATAACACAAATTAAGCATAAACAAAATTTATAATCTCCAAACAGCTTTAATTATCACCATTAGTGATTGTGTACATAAAAAACAGTATTACATTCCGAAATATGTCAAAATGTCCATAGACAAATATTTTTTTTCTTCAGACTCCCATTTATGTAAAACTTCAAACACCAAAAAAGTGTCTACCACCTGTGTTATTTTAAAATTCATCATTAATGTTAAATGAATGCAATGGCATTTTTCAAATTAATGTAATATTATATATGTGTGTAAATCATACCAGATATACATTGTAGTATATCTGCTATAATTGGAAAGTAAACTAAATCTAGTATTTGTCTCCTTTTTCTCCAAAGTCAAATCACATGCCACAAATATATTTATGCATGTAATAGGTCAATGTAAAAATAAATTGATGTTCTATTTTTGCAGGCATTGTGTGTCCAGCATGGGATTCAACAGAGGCCAGTATCTATCTGCTGCTAGAGATGAAAGTGAAGAGAATGCTCTATCCCCAGAAACATGCTATGAATGTAAGATCAATGGCTACCCAAAGAAATCTGGAAGGGCTAAGAGAAGTTCTAATGATACACAACCTCTAATGGTAAGATAATAACTTGATATCTACTTCCACAAATGTTCTTGTGGCATAAATCTTAGTTTAACTGGATTTTACTTCCCAGTATTTAGAAATGTTTCACAGCGATCTACAGGTTATAAATATGATATAATCTCCAGGGATAAAATCTGGTGCAACTCTGCATAGAAACCAATCAGCTTCCAGATTGTATTGCCAAAGCTTAATTGAACAAGCTGAAGTTTGAAGCTTGCACAGCTGTACCAGATTCCAGTGCTCCAGTTTTAAGCCCCGTGCACATGATAAGAATATTGGACGAACGATCACCTGTTTTTTTTCTCCTGCTAGTCTCACATCAAAAGTGAAAAGGTTACTAAAGATATGAAAATTCTCCTATGAAAGAAAAGAATTTCGAAAGTAATGTCATGTATTGTATTTGTATTGTATTTTCAGACGACTATTGTACTGATTAAATGAAAATCGTACGATTTGATATCGTACGAGAAAAAAGTTTGCACCTGTCCCTTCGGATATTATCGTACGAATTGTCGTGATCAGCTCTCGAAAGCTGTGCACTAACGATCCGATTATCGGACGATCGGTCCTCGTGCAAAAATTTTCGTACGATTTTCTTATAGTGTGTACGGGGCATTAGTAAATCAACCCCATACAGTCTTTGCTGTAATGTGACAAGGTGACCAAAGTAATGCTACAAATCCAGGCACACCAGTGTGCAGATAGTATTTGTGTATATTGATATCTATGCGGTGGCTACAGCCACAGTTTGCAATTATTATTAATATTATTATTATACAGTATTTATATAGCGCCAACAGGTTTGCTCAGCGCTGTACAATATAGTGGGGGGACAGTACATGAGACAATACAGTAACAAAACAATACACGAGGGGTTCGAGGGCCCTGCTCTTTCGAGCTTACAATCAAGAAATGGGTCCGATTAAAGTAAAAATTATTTAAACATTAAAGTCAATGCCTCTTCAGGTATAACACCTAATTATACCATTTGCACATTTCTTGCCCAATTTTAATTTTAGAATTCACTTACACAGGATGAAGAGATAAGTCTGAAAGTCTGGATATAGAGGAGCCATTGAAGATTAAGATAAACATCTCTGAATTCAATACACAGAACCACATCCTGGAAATTGTTCCAGCAATCCAACCTCTTACCAACCATGTACGCTACGTTATATCTCAAGGCAATAATACCATCTTCCGTATAAACCAAAGGGATGGACTTAGTTACCTCCATGCGACTCATAAGAATATCCAGCCAGGAACTTACACACTGGGTATAATCAGCATTCCTCTGTATAAGAAAAGTGACTTCATTAAACTGGAAGAGAAACATGAAGACAACTACCTCCTAGGAGAGCTGGGGGAGACTCTAAGAATGAGACTACAGATAAACATCTCTTAAACTAAAGAGCACATTCAAACTCAGAGCAGAACAACCACATTTGGTCCTTTATTTATCCAACTGAGCATGTGTTCATATTGAAAGCTTTAAGGAGGAAGTGACTGATTTTAATGGACCACTCTCTTTTTTGTCTCACGCCTGCACAGTGACTGTTTCAGGAAAAATAATGTAGAAGTGGTAATGTTTTACATTTCTTTTTGTTTTATGAAACTGCCAGCTTTGGATATAGTAATTTAAATATATTGTAGCCTCAAATAATGAAACTTGCACAGCTGTAAAGAAATTATATATACAGATAAATCCCAAGTTATTGTGTTAGTTGTTTTTGTAATAATTGTTTCCACAAACTATTCTCATTGGTAAATTAATTTCTATAATAATACACAACTCTCCACAAAATGTGGAGCAGCTTTAGGGCATATTCACAGACGCTCAGACGCTTTAGATTTAGAGCAGTTTGTTTATCTCTTTGTACTAGCACTGAGCTGCATAAAGGCATCCTACATAAGTAAATAAATACACATTAGCTGTATGGACTCACTGTATGGACCACACATCTGGGGTTGACAGGTACCCAGGACATGCACCTGTCGCTGCTTACCTGTTAAAGCTATGCAGTTGAGTCCCTGTAAACCAACTACTCTACACACTGTACAGGGCTGAGTGCCCATGTGAATGAGCCCTTAAACCTCTACAGCTGTAATGGTCTATGTAATGGTCTATGGCCCCCATTTTACAAAACTCTGTAAAAACTCCTATTTTTTTCAGACGGTTACTTTAACCAAAGTAAGGCAGGGTTAAAAGCCCCCTATAAAGCTATTTGTTTGTTGGAAAAGCAAACAGGAAAAAGGGAGGAAATCCCTCAAATGACCACCAATTCCCATCTTAGAGAACTGGCATAAGAATAGGTTTCTCTATTTAGAGGGTTTTCTCAAACTTCTTTCATTGATGACAATTTCATCTCATTCTCTTTCCCATACTTTATCCAAAAAAAAAAAAAATGCCGTTTATATACACTTTAATACAAGAGTGCTCAAATCTATTTACTCCGGGCATTAGTGTCAGTATAGTATTTTAGGACCCAAATGTCAGCTTGCCATTGTCTTGGGGCAAAACACAGAAACTATTAAAATAAAAAATCTGAATACCCAAAATGCCCCAGTTTGTCCACCAATGGGTTAACATAGTTAAGCCCATTTATTTACCCGTGGAACCCTTCTTAATGTCCCAAATAAAAATAACTTTATACTTAGGGCTCAACATGATTTGAATTTTCAAAAGCTTTAACATAACCAATACCCTAGCATTGCAAAATGTGAAAACAACAGGGATTGCTAAAATTATAATGGCACATATTAATCATAATGCTTGATCGTGACATACTTATGGCACAGTAAACTTGGGATATACTGTATATATTTGTTTAGAAACAGCTTTTAAGCTTACCAAAAAAGGTTAGTTATGATTGAAAATTATTGTTATCAGTTATCTGAGTATTTCTATAAAATCTGGCTCAGATTTCTGTAACATAAATTTAAGAAATGTATTAATACAGTAAAAAAGATGCTGGGTAAACCCTGATTGGTTTGTTTGAAGTATTAGACCCAACCAATCAAAACTAAGTATGGTTTTTATAATCTACCACATTCATCAATATTAGTTTTGCCATTTTGTAAGTATTTGGGAGGTATTTTGCTATAGTGTCCAGTAAACTGTAAATGTGTATTTATTTTTCTACAGTAATATATGACATGCATTATGAAATGTAATTTAAATGAGCATAGAGCCTTGTTTGTTTGTTATTTTACTTTGTTGTAATTGAGACCATTTTGTTTCTATTCATTTGTGAAAAGGTAACTTGAACTGCTGTGGTTCTTTTAAATTCACAAATTCATTTTTAATTGTAATACTTGGTCAAGTCATGCTCACATTCAAAGATCCGTTATAGTCTAAATACAGTTAACAAAAAACATGCCATGAGCAATGTCAAAGAGGAGCTAAGAGCCGCATGTAAGCTCACAGAGCTACTGGTTGGGGACCACTGCTGTTGATCTATCCTATTTTTTTTTTTCATTTTGCCCTTTCAACTATTTGATAGAGATTTTTTTCTGATCAGTTGGAAGAGGTCAGGTGCGCATTTAATGGAAGTTCATAACATCAAACACTGACCTTTTCATTTAGCTTTATAATAGATAATTGACGAAAATTATGCTCTTCATCTGCTGTAGCAAAATACCGTGAATGCTTCATGTTTTCTGTGGCATACCATTTTTCAAAGTACTGTACTTTTCTCCCATGTGCCTTGTAATATACTATTTTGGAAAATGCGTGCTTGTAAATGATTTACTGTAGGCAGCTCAATTATGAGGTTATGCTCTTCCTAAATTCATAACAGTCAGTAAATAGTGCAATGCTATTGGCAGTAAATTTCTGAGTTTTATGCTTCATAACCATGACAGAAAGTCAGTAAATAAGTAATCGCAACAACGCTGCCCACGCTATTGGCGGTACCATCAGTTGAGTCATATCTTCCATCAGTTTTTTTTTTTTTTTCCAGTTTAAAAATTAAGACACTATTTCACCCCATATCTTGATCTGCCCATACACTTTCCATACACTACATCTCGGGGATAAACATTACTGTCAACAAGCCCCACCATCACAACATTTGTCTGTTATTTTGGTTACTCACCATAAGTCTAGTTTACAATTACATATTATTCAAACTTATCGGATTCGTACAAATTGTGTGCTAAAAATGGTTTCCCTATACAACTGGTTCCAAAGAACAGTCATCCAGAACAAAGTGAAAATCCAGCAAAAATATAAATCACAGAACAATTTTAAATATACCCAAATATTACTTTAAAGAACAAATCAAATCATTATTCAAAGTTAAAAAGGGGCAAAGCTGTTGGTTTGTTTTAAAAATTTCCATGTGTATCTGGTTGACATCTGTTTTCTTACAATAAATATATTTTTGGGGTAAGTTACTGTGTTTTTTAATGTATGCACCACAAATTTAATTTTTGCTGTATATTCTGTAGATCCTAAAATCCTCTACATTCTAGCTGAATTGTTAAGTCATACTTTCAGTGGTAGTGAGTGATAAACAGAGACAAGTAGCCAAGCATAGGTGATTTATTTTACTAAGCCTTAAATCAAATAAATCATCATATTTGGCAATTTACAACTCTATTACTGAATGGAGGTGCGTATCCCTACCGACAATAAGCCAATTAGTTAATTTAAAATATAACCTTTTTAGGGGGGGGGATTTTTGCAAAATGTATGTATTAAAACTGTATTCAATTCAAACCTGAAAGACTGGGATGCACTGCGCAACAATCTCATAACTAAATCCATTACAATTATTAGTTTTTATTATTTATCCCTTAACATCCAAATAATTACCAGCACCAAGCGATCATGATTTCGTACCATCTTTGGATGAAGTGGCAAGAACAATTGTGGTTTGATTGGATCATATACTATCAGG